CACATATACACACACACACATATACACACACATACACACACACACACACACACACACACACATACCCACACACACACACACACGCGCGCACGCACACACACACGCACACACACACACACACACACACACACACATTCTATCTATTTGACCTGGTCACATAACAGCCATGTGACTTGGCATCATTACATTGTCTCCGTTCTTTCTTCATGTGCCCTGTGGTGTTTATGCTCTTTATTTATTTGGAAACTGTTTTAACCTCAGAGGGGTACATTTGTACTTTTTGTACTTTGGGGATAGCACAAGGGTTTTAAGCAAAACGCTGCACTTAGGACGAGTTTCATAAATCCTGCAGTTGGCATAGAGAACTGACATGTGGTAGCCTAGCACCATCAACCTCTGCAAATACAAGGACTGGATGAAATATTTTTTTTAAAAAGTGTCTCCAGTGTCTCCAACACTCTGGCTCAGTAGGAAATGAGGTCCTATGTCCAAAATTCCAGACTGTCCCTTTGAGAGTTAAACATTGATCCACAAGGGAAATTACTTGGACACAGTAGCTCACACATCAAAATATATTACAATAACAAAGACAAAAATCCTAATTATTTTATATTATTATTTCAGGACTTTTAACCTCCTAAGACCCAAGCTCTTGCATGGTATGCTTTATTGATTTATTTTTTGTTATTTGGCCTGATTGGGACATGATTATTGCAAAAACAAAGAATTATATTTTTATATAATAGACTTGTGTACAAGTCTCTTCATGGCCGAGCACCAAAGTAGATCTCTGACATGTTAGTGCTATATGAACCATCTCGCAGTCTGAGGACCACAGGGACCGGCCTCCTGCTGGTGCCCAGAGTCAGGACTAAACAAGGGGAGTCAGTGTTTCAGGTTCACACAGCTAAAACCTGGAACAGTCTTCCTGAACATGTGACACAGACTCTTCTGTGACGCTGTTTAAATCCAGGCTCAAAACATTTCTGTTTAACTCTGCATATGACTGAAAGGTTTTCATTCTGCACTCTTCTCTCTAATTTATGTAATTAATGTCTTTCTCTCTCTTTTAATTTTAATCTTAAATTTTATGATGATTATTTATGTTTTGATTTGTTTTTATTGTGACTTTAATGTATTTCTTATTCTGCAAAGCACTTTGAATTACTTTGTGTACAAATTGTGCTATACAAATCAATTTGCCTTGCCATGCCTTGCCCTTATAATATTTTTATATTTATATACACATATTATACATATGATATATAAAACATTCATTTTATGTTTTAATCATTTTGATGGAACAGAATAAATTCACACTTGAATAATGATTTGCAAAAACTATTAAGTGGCTAAACAACCCAAAATGTGTTGGATATATATGTCCACATATGTGGGTGCCAGGTCCTAGGAGGCTACATCAAAGTCAGACCAACATCTTTATTTTAAGTTAAGTGTGTTTTAACATATTTTTTTGTATTAGTTTTAAAGTTAAATTCAGGATTATGCAAGAGAAGTCAAGGAGAAGAAAGAGAGGAAAGAGAAATGAGATTCCTCCCAGGACAATGCTGTACATCTTGCTTACCTTCTTCCTCTCCCTCTGTGTGATGCTGCTGCTCCAGTAGATCACATGTAAATGAGGCTGATACCACTACAGAGTGGTAGAAGGTGATCATGAGTGGAACCCCTAAAACTGGAGCTTTGTAAAACTTGTGGTACTATATACTTGCAGATAGAAACAGTGCATTTAAAGCTGTATACTGAATAATGATTTTTTTTAAATATTCTGAACTGTTTTAAAATCCAGTTTGTTTTGTTGTTTTTACTGCAGAGCCAAATTTACACTGTAAGCAGTATTATTGATATGAATCATATGCTATTAGAATGTCCTTATTACATTTTGTATCTATCTCATCATCTCAAATTCATGAATTACATATCTATCTATCAATCTCTCTCTCTCTCTCTAAATATATATATATGTACATCACCATCCTGCCAGTCTGTATCTGGCAGATCCTGTGGGACTTCCAGATACAGACTGACAGGATGGTGATGGACCAACCAGACATAGTGGTGGTGGATAAGAAACAGAACAGAGCCATGTTGGTGGACATCACAATACCAAGCGATGGTAATATCAGGAAAAAGGAACACGAGAAACTAGAGAAATACCAGGGGCTCAAGGAGGAGCTGGAGAGAGCCTGGAAAGTGAAGGCATCAGTGGTGATCGGAGTACTCGAGGCTGTAACCTCCAAACTGGTAGAGTGGTTACAGCAGATACTGGGAAAAACTGAAAAGTGCAGCACTGGGAACAGCAAAGATACTGCGCAGAACTCTCAGGCTCCCAGGCCTCTGGTAGAGGACCCGAGCTGAATGAAGGTGAGAGACCAACCACCGTGGAAGGTGAGAAACACATTATATATATATATATATATATATATATATATATATATATATATATATATATATATATATATATATATAATTTTTTTTTTCACAGAAAAGTAATGTTGCACCGAATTGAAAAAGGAACTATGTTTTGTAGCCTGATTTTCAGTAGTAGCAGAATAAAGTAGTTACGTTACTCTGACGTGTTACACCCAACACTGTTGGTGACCATCGACTGTAATCTATGTTTCTGACCCAATGAAAGATGTTTTTCCCTGGATCTATGCTACAAATTGAAAACTGAGCAGGTATCTAGATGTACCAATAATATTTTTTTTATGAAATGATAAACAGAAATATCCCTTTGAAATACAGATGTAAGAAAAAAAAGCAGTTAAATGGTACAACATAGACATTTATTTCCCATACCCAAATCATATAGGTATCCCACCAGCCCCAGAAGCAGTTTTAGCAACAAAAAATGACAAAGTCAATTGGACAGCCTTCTGTCCATGGTTAGTCTTTATGTCCTGTAATTATCCTTTTCAAGCTCAGTTTGTAGTCGCAAATTAATGCACGGTGAAGATGGTGCAAATTGAAAATACAATCTGAAACAAAAGCAGATTATTTGTAGTTGATTTGTCCAAAAGGGGCTGTAATATATTTAGTCTAAAAGCTGAGCTTTGTACACTTCACAGGATGTTTTCAAAATAAATCCTTAAAAAGTGCTTTTTAAGGGCTGGCTGTACTACTTGGCTGGGTTGACAAGTTTTCAAAAGGCAAGACAAAGTGGGGGTTCTTGTTTTGCTTGGATGCCACTTGAAAAAGAGCATAACTTGTCCAATGTGATCGTACAAAATAGGGAACAACATTTCATATATATATATATATATATATATATATATATATATATATATATATATATATATATATATATATATATATGTGTGTGTGTGTGTCTGTGTGTGTGTGTGTGTCTGTGTGTGTGTTAGAAAGGCTGTTTGATTCCTTTACAAAGTTTGTGTAAAGGCTATAACCCATTTTTCTCTTTCTTATGTAGAATGTCTTAATCAAAGTCCATATATGTGTGCCAGCCTTTAACAATATATAATCTACAATTTCATGTCTTTGCATTTCACTGGTTGCTGGGATCCAGGTCTCTCTTTGAATGACTAAGGATTTGGATACTTGTGTGTGGATCATTCCCCATGTTGCTGGACTCCATGTTTGGCCTAAGGAAGCACATAGTCTCACTAGCTTCCAAAATGGTAGTGGGTTTCCTGTGTTTACAATGAGCCAGTGCCTTTAACTGCTCCTGGGCCTCTTCCAGTAGCAAGGTTACTTGTTGTTGACCAATTGCAGCTGAACAGGACATGTACTTTGCCCTCTTAGTGTTGCTGTTAGTTTTAATTGACATTGTTTGCAAACTGGAAACCTCAATGTCATAATGACAATGAAGAGAGGGGATAATGGGAATTGAAGCAGAGGAAAATAGGGGATCCATGTATTGATGCTGAACTGGTTGACGAAAGCTGCAGATGTTTGTGCTGCTCCGAGGAAATAATACAGGTGTTGGCTCCTTCTTGTCCTGAACCGAAGTTTGTATATGGAGGAAAGTGTCCTGACAAAGATTGCTGTAATGGAAATCCCTCTTGGTCCGGGGCCTAAAAACAAGAGCAAGAAGATTACTATTGTATTGATGACAAGGCAATATATGCTAAGGTCTGGGCTGTCATGGAGAGAGACACATACACCTATATGTAATAGGCAGCTAATAATCAGCTAATAGGTTCAAATCTTTCGGAAAAAATCTCTGTTCACATTGTCTGTGTCTTTTCCACTATTGAGTCCGTTTTGAGCCCTGGTCGTCTGATCTTGATTCTTATTCAGTCTTTTAATGTCCCTCACATGCAGACCACAATGATGGCACCGCAAATCTCAAAGGACCTCAGCCTCTTCAGAAAGTAGAGATGACTTTGGTCCGTCCTGTAGACAGCATCCACATTCCTGCTCAAGTCCAGTTTATTGTCCATGTACATCTAGACCTGTGCCTTATTTTGTACAGTTTTGTGTGAAGGATTCTCTACATCTTTCATTCAAAACCAAGAGTCGGATTAAAATCATGTTATAGACAGGAAAAGATTTACTTTATTAAAAGTTTATGAAATTTGGTACAAAAATATTTGGATTATTACAACCAAAAAACTCCATCTGTCTATCTGTGTGATCTCACTATGTAAATATACTGACACACGTTTAGGAAAATTCTCAACTAAAGTACATCAATTAAATTAGGTCTAGTTACTTGTAATGCTTACATTAGCTCTGTGCATAGTTCTGCCAAACAAACAAATGAGGGTAAGCAATGAAAGTAGGCCTTCATGGGCAGAAGGGGCCTTGGTGCAGGGAGCAGAAAAGGGGGCCTTGGTGCAGGGAGACAAGTTATTTTTTTATTTTATTTTTTTCTCATTGAAGACTTGTTAATCTCTTATTCTTATTTTACAGTATGCTATATGTCTAAATTGACATTTTGGTGCATTATAATTAAGAAAATAATGTGCTTAATCATGATTGAATGTATGTGTATGTGGTACATATGGTAATTTGGTTTACCCTTTTTCTGAATCCTTTTTTGATGAATCCACTTCCTGAAGGTGCTTGTAGACAGAACCTGAACACTTGGATCTTCCAATCTGATCAAGTCTCACTTTTGATACTGAAGGGGGTCTGTTTGATGCTGACAAGTGGGGGGGTTGAATCTTTTGACTAGGACTGTAGAACAAGATGCTCTTCCTGGAACATAAAAAAAGAATGAAAGTGGATATATATTTTAATTAGGCCCGAGCGCCAGAAGCTGGCGAAAAGCCTATTAGTATCAGTATTAGTATTAGTATCGAGCCTCTTAGTATGCTCCTTGTGGCCGGAAAATGAAATGGAGCGACGTGACTCGTAGCAGTGACCAGGGACCCTCGCCATCATATAGCAATGTGCCAGAGGTTCTTTCCCAACCCCAGGGCGTAGGGCCTATTGCTTTCGCTACGAGGAGCAAATGGGGAGCGACAAGCGCATGACCGAATGTGACAGGACGACATGCAGCTTTGTCCTTGGTCGCTCCTGGCACGAACAGCAGTATCCCAGTAACCCACGCCCAAGGCCTGAGCCATATTTACTACTGTTAAAATGAATGGAAGTCAAAGATGGTGCAGACGCGGCCGTCACTCACCAATGACCACACGGTGATGTGGGGAAGGTCGAGAGCTTTCAAAAAATGTATAATATGCTGTTCTAATGTTTTCAGATATATTGTTTTTGCTCGAATTATTATTATTTTTATTATTTTTATTTCTTCTGCTCTTTGAGCTCTAATTTGACCCCCTAAACACGTTCAAAAACTCACCAAACTTGGCCCAAAATTCAGAAGTGGCGAAAAATTTGATAAAATATAGGTTTCGTGCACAGGCATAAAAAAAAAAAGGCAAAACTACGCCACCTGGAAAAGTCAAAATACACTGTTGTAGACCCACAAAATTGGGTACACACATTCGCCATGTGAAGTCAAACTAAAAATTTAGTTAACTATCATGGTTTATGTGCAGTGAAGCCTCAAATTTCAATCAAGATTTTGGCTATTTTCAAGATGACATTATTATTGGACTTAGTCCAATCGTCCAGAAATTTGAATCACTAATGTGTGATCTCAGCCTGAATATAATACACTATAAAACATGAAAAGTCAACACTATAGCGCCCCCTACCATAAACATGAAACGTCAACATTATTGGATTTGTACCAAATTTGGGAATTCAATTCTATGAACAACTAGAAGCAAAAATGTATATTACTGATATGGGGCATCTTTCATGGTTGGCCAGTAGGGGGTACAAATCTCCTACAAAAACATTTAAAGGTGCACTATGTAATTTTTCTGGTGGAGGATGGTTTGGCACACAAATTTAGAAAAATGGTTATAAGTTAGGGTTAGGGCAAGGTTTAAGGCTGTCACACCTTGACGATTTAGACAGCATATGCCGACGTACCAGAATTTCCCTAAAACGCTGGCATACACTGAACCATCCATGTTTTTTTTAATTTTGGGCATATACGTAGCGTATTCATAACGAGTTGGACGTATACATAACATATTAGTAACTTATATAGAATGTTTTGATAACTTATAGATAACTTATACCAACTAATGCTTAGCGTGTTGCCAGTGTCCAAAACTTATGCCCAACAACAGTCTAACCTATGCATGGTGCACGTAAGTGTATCGCCTACGAACACGTGTAGTCGCCTATTAAAAGTCTGCTGCTTGACAATTTAAATCATATCATATGATATATCATCATATCAGTCTCTCTCTGTACATGGTGCTGAATGCAACAGATCAATTGATAGATGATATAGTGGGATGTGTCTGCAGACCACAGGCTGTAAAGTTGTGAACGCAATCTCGTCAGCTGTTTCCTGGCTACAGTAAAACCACTCTCCATCGCACTTCTAGATCTCAAAGCTCTGCACTTCTAGTTTAGATACAAAAAAACTGAGTTATTATTATTTGTGAAATGTGGTGCAATACTTCAGATACATGGTTTTTAAAGCATAAAAGATTGGAGATAAAGTCCACAGGAAGTAGAATCATTATCACTGATCTGCAGCTTAACACGTGCTGGATGTAAACAACCCGAACTAACCAAACCTAACCCTAACACACGTGCAACTCTTGCCTTTTTACTTTCAAAGAATGACTCAAATGGATTAATAGCGCGGTTTTGTCGACTGGATGTCATTATTTACGGAGGACAAATTCTATGGATAATACAGAGTGAGTAATAAACTTCTTATTGAGCTGTCTCAATGAATTGATCGGTTAGGCTGTATGGTGTTCTCCGCAGATCGCCTAAATGACGCTCTTTTTTAAAATGCAAATGACTGATCCCATGGCTCTCAGTGAGGACATTTTCCCACTGTCTTATATCCTCTATGACCGAAGTATTCTTTGATCAAGTGTTTTGCATCGGCTCATATGGGAGCACAAAGTCTGGAAGAGTACTGATGGTTTCCTCCCCATTTTTATACCGATTCTCCTAAACACTGCCAATACACCATTACACGGTAGCTACAAGTTAGAAACACGTTTAGTAAGTTCTGTGGTCATCTGCAACATGCCAAATACGTCAATATGCATTGGAGATAAGTTCGATATAAGTTACACATAGGTTCAAAGCACGTTACTCACAAGTCAGAGGTACGCTAGACATTTTCTCAATGTATTTGGACTTATGAGAAACTTACAATTAATGTGTGTTAATGATTGCATAACTTACCTACAACTTATAGCCCGCGTATGCAGGACGTACAAACATACGCTGACATACGTCGAGAAATTTCAACATGCTCAAAATTTTTCGACGACCTTACCGTATGTCGCCGTATGCCAGCGTGCTTCAGTGTGCTCATAACTTATACAATATTTACCTAGAACTTATCCGGCTAAATCGTCAAGGTGTGACAGTGGTGTTAGGGTTAGAGTTGAGATTGGGGCTATGGTTAGGGGTACGACTACAGTTAGGTTTAAAGTTAGGGTTACATTAAGGGTTAGGCCTAGCGTTAGGGTTTGGTCTAGGGTTTAGATTTGTGGTTGGGATTTACATTTATAAGGGTTATGTGGAGCACGGCTTTTGTGGAACACTGCACTTGCAGGGTGTCGTGTTTGCGGGAGTGGCGTCTATGTCCGACGCTTTATTTTTCCTTTCATTATAAGATGGTTAATGATCTTCAAATTATGCACATCAATATTAAGAGCCTGTTACCTAAAATTGACCAATTAAGGGCCTGGCTTGCTTACCCACTATTATTACAATATCTGAAACATGGCTCTCCTCTAATATTTCTGATAATGACATTAGTCTGGACAATTAATTCTGCACAAAGCTGTTAGAAGTACTAGATGAGGTGGAGTAGCCACCTATGCATCATCAAGCCTACAGTCAGTATTAGTTTGTCCAAAGGAGAAACCAGTTAATTTTGACAGCTTGTTTATTAAAATAATTCTACATGAAAATAAACACTTTATTATTGGAAACATTTATAGACCTCCCAACTCTCCTTCTGACCCTGTAAAAAATATTTTAGCCACAGTTACATGTTTAGGATGTAACACTGAGCTGATTTTGCTTGGAGATTTCAACATTAACTGGTTGTCTTCTTCCTCTGCAACTGAGCCAACATTTTTAATTGTGCAAACTTTCCTCAGTTGATTAATGAACCCACAAGAATCAGTTGTAATTCCACATCTCTCATTGACTGGATTTTAGCAACTCATCCAGACAGATTCTCTGAATCTAGTGTCCTATCAGACCTCTGATCATTGCATCATATGGGTCCACGGGTCCATTTTTGAAGACCTGCACCCGCCCGCACTTTCGCAGTACAGCACCACACACCCGTTAACCTGTGATTTATGTCAAAGTCAAACCCACACCCGCCTGGACCCATTAACATTACACCAGTTACCGCCCGTGAAAAAACACACACAGATTAAATATGAATTGAAAAGTTACGACTTCAAGAATTACAATCACAAAATTAAAGCCGCGCGCGGCGATGGTGGCCCTCGCCCCACGCGACCTCCGGAGACTCGCGACCGCCCCGGCACGCCACCCACTCTTCCCGACACCGCCCAGGCCAACAGCTCGTCCATTAGACACATTACATAATGCACCTTTAAATATTTTTTAGGAGTCATTGCACCGTGGGGCCATCCTCACGTGGGCCCACCACCCGCGGGAGGAGCCATATGGGGCCGGTGCAGAGAGATCTGGGCGGGGGGCCTCGACGACCGGATCTCCGGACATGGAGACTAGCTCTGGGGACATGGAATGTCACCTCGCTGGGGGGGAAGGAGCCTGAGCTTGTGCGGGAGGTTGAGCGTTACCGACTAGATATAGTCGGCCTCACCTCTACGCACAGTTTGGGCTCTGGAACCCAACTCCTTGAGAGGGGCTGGACTCTCCATTTCTCTGGCGTTGGCCGCGGGGAGTGGCGGCGGGCTGGTGTGGGCCTGCTCATTGCCCCACAGCTCAGTCGCTGTGTGTTGGAGTTCACCCCGGTGAACGAGAGGGTCGCGTCCCTGCGCCTTCGGGTCGGGGACAGGTCTCTCACTGTGGTGTCGGCCTACGGGCCGAACAGCAGTGCAGAGTACCCGGCCTTCTTGGAGTCCTTGGAAGGGGTACTAGACAGTGCACCGACCGGGGACTCCGTTGTTCTCCTGGGGGACTTCAAAGCCCACATGGGCAACGACAGTGACACTTGGAGAGGGGTGATTGGGAGGAACGGCCTCCCTGATCTGAACCCGAGCGGTGTTTTGTTATTGGACTTCTGTGCTAGTCACAGTTTGTCCATAACGAACACCATGTTCGAGCACAAGGGTGTCCATAAGTGCACGTGGCACCAGGACACCCTAGGCCGGAGGTCGATGATCGACTTTGTAGTCATGTCATCTGATCTCCGGCCGCGTGTCTTGGACACTCGGGTGAAGAGAGGGGCTGAGCTGTCAACTGATCACCACCTGGTTGTGAGTTGGGTTCGCTGGCGGAGGAGGAAGCCGGAAAGACCTGGCAGGCCCAAGCGTGTAGTGAGGGTCTGTTGGGAACGTCTGGCGGAGCCCTCTGTCAGAGGGACTTCCAACTCGCACCTCCGGGAGGACTTCTCCCAGATTCCGGGGGAGGCTGGAGATATGGAGTCCGAGTGGGCTTCATTCTCGGCCTCTATTGTCGATGCGGCTGCTGGG